CCCTGGCTGCCTGTCATGTGGCCTTCGATGGCTTGCCAAAACTTGGGCTTGCCCTCCGCCCAAAATAATTCCGCCCTCCTGGCTTATCCTATTATTTTGTTGCCTCTTTACCCAATTCTCTCATCTCTATGGATTTTTTTAAGCCTCCTTTTAAGAGTCTGAGTGAAGTCACATCCAGTATATTTTGCTATATTGCCTTTCTTCCCTTGTCCAGATTGCTGGACCTGAGGCACTCCAATAAGTGAACATCTTTCTAAAAGAGTAAGACCCTCCACTAACAAATTATCTCCTCTCATGATCAGTTTCCAGTGAATGAAAGGGGCTCTGCCTCTTACCTTTTGGTTATTAAGTTTTCTTAACTGGGTGTTGTTGTTTTTTTGTGGGTATTTTTGTTTGGCAAAACTTCCTGAGTTTTTTAAATGATCTCTTTCTCCTTTGTATATCATTATGTCCCATCTTAGGGAATTCTGGTAGATAACGTGACTTTACCTGTACGGAAGCTGTGCTGGCTTCTCCTTAGCACCTTTTTTCCATCTTTGTGGGGTATTACATTCTTTAGTGATGCTCTTTATTTTTCTCAAGTGATGGGAAGGCTGATCAATAAGTGCATTCTCAACACCCTTACATTTCTGAGAGGCTTAAATATTTATTTTGTAAAATCTCTTTGATTCATCACTTCTCTTTCACCTATAAAGGTTTACCTCAGCTGAGGTATTTGCCTTGGATATCCCTGAAAAATGAGGGATACAAAAAATGCTTTAGCTGCTGTCTTGTCTTTTTATCCTCTTTGTCTCCTTTGCATCCTACTGGGCTAGCAGACCACATGGACTTGCCTGTTGGCTGTTTTTTGTGATGGTCTGATCCATCTCAGTGTTTTTTATATACACCCTGCTGGTTTACCACACATACCTTATGCATGAGTGTTGCTCTGAATGAAGTATTGGGAAATTGGTCTTTTTGACTGAGACCAAATTATTTTAGAGAGCTGTAAGGGTTACCAGTCTGAGAGGAGGTGCTGCAGGTCACTTCTTGTGTTGTTTGTGTATTTCCTGTGAGTGGGAGGCCTGACTGTCAAAACTGGTTGCATGAGTGACTTCAGTTCTTGAAAGACAAGAATGAGAGGGGCTTTGATGGGATTAGCTTGTTTTTTTCAAACCACTCTCTGTCATACACTCTCTATTTTAACCCTCTTTGGTTGATTCCCATTTTGGAGGTGTCTTCGTGGAGAAGACAAGGTTCTTTGGGTAAATCTTGATATCTTTTATTAGACCAACTCAAATAATTGGGAACATTTTTCTTTGCAAGCTTTCAGGTATAAATACCCTTCGTCAGGCATAAATTCAACTTCCTTTTCCTTTGAAATAGCAGACAGTCGGTGTGTGTGTAACCCTCTTATGTAAAGGACCAGGTCGACCTGAGGAAAGATATATTTGAAACTGAAAGGCCATTGGCTCTCTTGTGATTTTATTTTGAGCTCTTTATTTCTGTAGTTTCTGTGCTTCCTTTTCTTGCACTTAAGTACATGAGATGGGGCATGGTTTACAGCTCTCTCTATTCTAAGGGTGTGTCTGCACTGCACCATTAACTTGGGGTTTTATCCAGTATTTAGCCTTAGTTCTGCCCAATTTTGCACACAGAAAAATCTTTAATTCAGGTTTTGGTAGCACTTTCAGTCCTGGGCTATCTCTCTGGCTGTTGTGGGGCAGGAAGTGGGAAACCTCAGGCTTCATCTTGACTCAGGAGTGGACTTACTTACTGTGCAGCGAAGAGGCCAGCAAAGTTACGTGAGTGATGGTAGTCCTCCATTGCCTTCCTGCAGCTCCCTGCAAAGGACAAGTAAGTTCTCTTGCAACTGTTACAAAAGAATCCTAGAGCATCTCTGTACAAAAAGCTAGTAGTCAGGCCCGCAGAGATTCACACATGAGATCAGAAACAATGAAATTGTCGTAACACTCAGATGGATTTGTAGTGAGGAAGCAACTGGCTGGATTAGGTTAACTTGGGTGATTGTCACCCATGTTAAACTGTGCAGCATAGACATAGTCTGGTTTTGTTTGCTGTGTCTGAACTTGGTGTCTCCACATACCAGTGAACAGCCTCAGAAAATAGATTTCCATTCATAAGGTAGCTGACTGTATTTCTAACAGTGCTGGCCGTTCCTTTTTTTTTTTTTTTTGATG